CAGACCACTATTATACATTGCTACAATTAGTTTTTCATCACAATCCGACAGATGGAAGCTTTGCACCATTTACTCATCAGCACATTGACCAAATGTCTGACTGAACACCTCTGAGAACTGGAGCTAAACCCATTGGACATCATGGTATTTTTAGCATAATGCATTTGACTATGTATTGGGGCATACTAAATATAATACTAGTATGGTAGTATGGGTATTGAAAGGCATGTGTTTTGAAGGCAAGACATTTTACTCTGGGTACAAATGCTCAGTATTGAAAAAAAGAGGAAATTATTTTTTCTCTGACTGAGCCCTTAATCCTATTCTACATTCATATATCTCAGGGAACTGGCTGCTCCTGTAGCAAAACGGTTCACCTGGATTTTTAAACAATCAAGTTGATGTTGACAAGTGTATGTGAAAAGGTAATTGCTGTAGTGTTGGATTCTGAAAGAGGCCAAGAACAGGAACTCTACAATGAGTTGATTGAAGTGGAGGAAAACCAAATTGTGTATTGGTTTAGTCTTATTTCCTGGTTCAGAACAATAAGTAGACATTGTTTTTACATCACACTCCAAGAAAAAAGGCAAAGCATTGAACAGTGCTTTGAGTCACTTTGGATGAGTGATTGACAGTCCTTAGGTTAAATGGTTTAGAAAGCATGACTTCTGTGAAATGTTGAACAATGCAAGGATTTAAAGGTGAATTGTGAACATTTGACTGGATTTTTCACCATAAAAAGGTCCAAGGGCCTTTTTCCAAATGACAAAGAAAAACTATATTTGTGTGCAATATAAATTCTGTCCAGAACTAGAAACCAAACAATCTGGTGAATGGCCCAGTGCAGGTTTTGAAGGGGCTCTGTTGTTGGAGTTTTGTTGAACTCTGGCAGTGATTCTGTAGTTGCTGTCCTCACTTCTACTACTTTTACAGCTGTAGATTGAGGCAGATGTGTAATGTTGAATGTGGCAAAGTTCCCTTTAATGAACCACCAAGGGTCCTGCAAAGTTATCAGTAGTCTTGTTCTGGAATATTTTTGGCCCTCTCCAATAGGAAATATTTCTACTTATTTGTTGGATGGCACAACATTGTCTCAAACTCAACAAAAATTAAATTTTATTGTTGCAGGGAGTATTCTTGGCACCCTTCTGGGTTGTCAGTCCCTGCTGACAGATGTTTTTGGTGTTGTTTTTTTAATTGTGACCCGGGTTTTGAACCACATGTCAAACGAGTCCTGTTTAATCAAACTCAGTTACTGCCAAAAATCTAACTATTCATCCCTTTGGAATTATTTTTTTCCTCCAGCTGGACTTCTGGAGCTGTCTCTTTGCTGGCATTAGTGAAAGATCACTCTGTCTTCTCTCCTTTGTTTTTACACACAACATCGCCTTCCTTTTTAAAATATAAATAAACTGTTCAAGGAGAATTTGGTATCACACTGCAGAGGACGTCCTATTTTTAGAGGATGTGCACTAATTAAGCTATTCTTTCAAAAATCTGTTCCTCTGAGTTCCTTAAAGCTCTGTCTTAGTTTTCTACCTCAGACTGAATGGAATCACTAACATTGATCAGTTAATGGTGACTTATACAAGAAATGTAAAACTCAGACTGGTTTTATTTGATTGGGGCAGTCCAGTTAATCCTTGTTTCACTTAAATCAATGTTGTAGTCTTGGTGGTTGTTTGAGCTGTTAGAGTTTGATGTATATGTGCAGAAGATTCATCTGCTGAAAGGGAAACATTTCTTTGTGCTCAGCTTAAATCCGAGTTTTATGGTGCATTTTCATGATCCTCAGATGGTCCCGTTTCCCGATTTGGGAAGTCGGATAAACCCACTGCACACTATCTGGCCATGGGCACCAATCTGCAATCAGAGTTAACAGAGTTATCGACTAGCATATAGCTAAAGATCCAGATGTTGTTTTCTCAGGGGTTGGTGTAAACCACAACAGATCTAAAAGGAGAGTGAATATTGGACTTCAATTCATCAGCCAGAAAAGAGCTATTTGCCAAAAGCACACAACAACAACAACAACAGTATTTTAGTAGATCGATATAGCATAATTTGGGGTAAATAGTTTGACTTTTATTTTGCTTTAAGCAGATGCTGTGAATAAGGACCAGTTTTTCGATGCAAAGATTTGGACATTTGTAGTTAAACAACATGGGAGTAAAAGCAGTGCTCTGTTTTATTTTTTTTGTGAAAATGCAATAAAAATATTGTATCGTAAAAATATATAAAATAATCAATGGTTTTCAAATAATCGTTATCTAAACATTGATTAAAACAATCACGATTATCATTTTTTTTTAGAGACAGTTCAGAAAGAAGACACCCCACTGAGTCAGTTAACTGTTTTTGTGTCATGTGGTTTTGCCACTGCCCCGCCCCTTTAGGAGACTAAGGACTCAGGTCCTGAGGAGAAGGATCGATTGTTTGCTCTCCACTGTCACCAAAGTAAATATTAGACCCATTTTTCACAAGCCACATACATTCAAAACATTCTTACACTGAAATTGCATTTGTCAGACTGACACCTGAAACCTTCAAGAAGGTGAGTGTTGGATACTCAACAGACATATTTTGGATACAGTGTCACATTTAAGTATAGCTAAGCTAATGATAAGCTAATGAGTAACAACCTCTACTGAAAGACTTAAGTAGGAACTTAACTTTAAAATGATGTAAAGGAGTTTGGGTCTGGGGATTAACAGAGACTTGAAACAGCAGGTTCAGCTGAACACCAAAAGCAAATTCAAAGAAACGCAATGCATCATGGTCTGTGTAATAATGTTTTTCTCATGCTGTAAAAAAAGCTTAATTGAATATAAAATTGCTTCTATCTTAATGCCTGCTCCTGAATTTCAATAATCAATAAAACTAGCTTCTGATTATAGAGCAAATTATGTAAAATAGAGCATGTCTCTTTCCCCAGTAGTTTAATCCAAACAATAGCTTTATACCTAGCAGCGCCGATAAGGAGGTAATGATGTGCAGATGGTGAGGCCGGAAGAAGGGAGGGCTGATGAGGGAATGAGCTACAGGTGTGTGGGGCAGGCCAACACACTGGGGGCAGGTGGAGGAATGACTACTACCAAAAAACAACTCCCAGATGTGTGTGAATATTTCACAGGATATACGACGTGACATACACATTTGGAAATGTGTCTATAACTTTACTTTAAGTAGGCGATACTCCAGAGTTAGAGGATGCACACAAAACAGAAAGACCTTTTAGGTGGGGAGCTCATGGTTCCCTGAAATATTAAAACTGACTCACAACGTGTTGTACCTTGCCATTCTCCTAGCAACAAACTGGTCAGAGGATTCCCTGGACCAAACGGTAGACTGCAGACAGTGGACAGCAAACGGCAAAGCAGCGACCCAGGCTGGTAATCTGGTTTTATTTTGTGAGGCAAAAGAGCTAAAAAATTAAACTCCTACACTTCTGCTTGCCAGTGAAGTTAATTGTATGAAGTCCTTAAAGAAACCTACTTAATACTTCAAAGGATAGGTTTGGATTAGCATCTTTACATAACTGTCAAATACAGGATGTGTGTTTAAAGTGGATGGAATGTAGTGTAGCGATGTAATTATTCAACCTCACCATTTTAAAGTTCAGCAGAAGCTAATGATCAGTCTAAGTTTGTCAAATCAAGCGGCCCCCTCACATACCGAGAGGAGTGTGGGGCCCCTCTACTTTTCAAGTACTGTTAGACGCTAACACTAGTGGTACTCGTCTCGGGTTGACTGCTCCAGCCGGTAAGTTTATCATTAGCATGAAACCTTTTAATGGAGGCTAGGTTTGTGGTGCCGTGGCACATTTTTAGAGAGAGTATGGACTCGACATACATCAGGCAGATGCAAACACGACTACAAATCATAGACTGGTATAAGAAGTGGGCGTAGTCACCGAGACGTCACCCATCGGTTTGTTGACTGCAGTTTTGAAGCCTTGAGTTTGGCATTTCAGATGGCGCCATCTTGTTTTTTTGCAACCAGAAGTGACACGAGAGGATGAAGCTAAGTACAACCGAATGATGTTTTGGACATTTTTCGGCAACCAAAAAGGTTACAATTAACTTTAATTACCTAAAAAGACACCATTGTTTACAATGTTTACTCGGGTAATAAATCAAATGAGAAGTAGGGTCATTTTCTCTTTTCTTCTATTCAAACTGACCTATTTTTTGCAACCGGAGGAGTCGCCCCCTGCTGGCCATTAGAAAGAATGCAAGTTTAATGTACTTCCGAATTGGCTTCACTTTTCAGAAGCGGAGGTTTCTGCCTGATTTAAATGAATGCTAATGTTGCTCTGTAACGTAGCGGCTGGATGTGTGAATAAGTTTTTTTGAAACAACTTTGCCATAGTAACTTTGTAAGGTGATAATATGTCAATGCTGCATTAACATCTTGTTCTGCTGATGTTAATGAAGCTGTTTGAACAAGAAAATCCTCTGGAAATGTTGCTTATAGACTTCACACAACTAACTGAAAGAACAGTCAGTACCCTACCAAAACAAATAGTTATTTTAAGAAAATTATTTCGAGAAATTTGACATATAAACCAAAATAATACCTTGATTTAACCAAATACACGAGCCTAAACATTTTGCAAGAGATATTTTGTGATTTAAATGAAACAAAGTAGTTCAGAACAAAACAAAATATATTAATTATTTAAACAATTTATATATGAAAGGTTTTTTGTCCTCCGTCTAGAATAATTATGTTGCTCCATGTGTTTGTAAACCTCAGTTAGTGGGTTTGTAAACTCAGTAATCCGAATTAGAGCCCTTGGTGACCATCTGCTGTCTACACTGTCAGCTCTGCGCACTACTTTGTTACTGCATTCACCTCAGCTCTCTCCCTCTCTCTCTCTCTCTCTCTCTCTCTCTCTCTCTCTCTCTCTCTCTC